TCTAATATCATAAGTATGTTACACAGTAAACCAAAAAAAAAAANAAAAAAAGAAGATAAAACAGATTATTTAACAGGAAATATTTTCAAATTCATTTCAGTTTTAAAAAAAATCAGAAATATGTATTAATTTCTTCTTGTAATTTACAGCAAATTACAAGAAAGAAAATATTGTATTACTATTTAGTTTCGAAGAAACAAAAAAGGGAAAAAATGGGATTCCATACTCCTAAATGCATTAAAAAACATGCAGTTCCTTTCTATTAATAATCAATAAACTGAAATTATACTATAAAATGGCATGGTATTTTAAGATTTAACAATAAAATTTGAATTGCAGTTTTGAAAAAATGAAATTTTGAAAAATTATTTTTCACAAATGATAATAGTTTAAAAACATCTAAATCTAATTCTTCAGAAATTTCCTTTTTAAATACACACACAAAAATCTTTAGAAATAAATTGTATATTTGTACATAATACAAATACAATATACTCCAAATTATTCAGGTTAATCACTAGAATGGAAAAAAGAATAAGGATAATCTGAAAATTTTTACTTTACAATAGAAGAATAAGTCATGGATGAAAGATATTGCTAAGATAGCTTTTATTACACATGTATAATAAATGATTATAAAAAAAGATTAACAAAATACACATTTATTATAATGTCCTATTACATTTTACAAACTGTTTTTAAATAATTTGTAAATAATATCTGTACAGTATATTGCAAATTGTTTAGACCAATCCCTAGATTGAAGAAAAAAAATAGCTGTAAACATTTCACTTTAGAATAAGTTACAAATGAAAAACATTATTTTTCCATTATGTAATTAAAACTTAAAGTTGATTAAGGACCATACAAAGAAAAGGCATAATTACAATGACTTGTATTTCTTTTACAATCATTCTTTAAATAATTTGCAAATAGCACAGTATGTTCCAAATTATCCAGTCTAATAACTATAATAGAACATAATATAAATATGGATATTCTGAAACTTTTTACTTTACAATAGACTAAGTCACAAATGAAGGATGTGCTTTTGTGTGATATCATGAAGTCTTAAATATGATAAATAATCATACAGAAAAAAAAGAGCAAAATACATGTCAAATATAATGACTTGTTACTTTTCAAACTGCTTTTGAAATAATTTGTAAATAATACAAGTGCAGTATATTAAAAATTATTAAGTCTAATATTAGAATGAAACATTGAAATATACAAATAAGCTGAAACATAATAGGAAAGGTTGCATATGAAAAATATTGTTTGATAAATGGTCATAAAAAAAACTCCATATAATAATCTGTTTGCAACACAATGCTTGAATTTTATAATCGTTTGATAATATTTTATAATTATTTGATTTTCCATTCATTAACTTCTAGGTCCATTCCAACTTTCTCTTTTTTTCTTTCAGGAGCATATTTTATTTATACTTCCTTCTTTGGTATTCTTCCAACATTCTTAATGCAACTGTTCATGATTAAAATCCAATTTCAAAAATAAATCAGTGTCTTCCAAGTAAAAAAGATCCCTTAACTAAGTTATTGTCAAAAAAATAATCTTTTAATTTTACTAAACAAATTAAATGTGCTAAACAATAGACTGGATAAAAAAGTATCATATTTTCATTTCTCATATGTCTCTTAACAAATTTTCAATAACAAAATATTTTAAAAAACTACTATTGATAAAAGTCAAAAATAAGCACATATAATTCGAAAATGTATAATAACAGAACTTTTTTTCTAATGATTGTTTTTTCACAAAGTAAGCCCCAATATTAATCACACAAAAGTGTGACCTCAAATATGCTAATTCATTAAGTTATGGGGGGAAAATCTATCTTTTCTGAATAACCATACCTTTTATTTTACTGACAAAATTGGATTTTTAACCTTCAAAATAACTGTAATCTGGAAAATATGGTCCCAATAGTTTTGTCTGAAAAGCAGTTGAAAGTTTGAGTTTAATGTTAAACTAACTTTTTCTTTATTTCTGCATATCTAGGAAAGTTTTTAAGTGAATCAATTTTTCCACATTATTATAAAATTTGCTCACCCTCAGATAATTCTATGATAAAATTATATATCTCACATGACCAAAAAAACTAAAGCTGTTGTTTATAAAAGATAAGTTTATTCAGAGAAAAAAAAATTTGTGTCTAATTTTATAACTTAATACTTAGCACTAATTAATCAATATATTTTAAGTCACCACTATGAATCAGTAAGATTTGTATTTAGTTTGGGAAAATCTGGCTTTAACAACAAAAGTTACAAAATGTGATGTAATATCTTCATTATTAATTTAACTCTTATTGTTCACCATACACTATACACAGGTAAATTTTAAACTGAACTTCAGATGGGGGGGATGGGTTTGGGAGATTTATACAAAACAAATACTATTCACACTATTATTCAACTTTTATTACATTATCCATTGTAAAATATATTGTAAATATTTAGTATGTAAATATAATGTAAATATTGAGTTTCTTACATTAAGCATCGTAAGAAAAGAAACAAAAACAAATAAAAGTAGAATTTTGCAAATACCAAATAATTTTTGAAAATAGAATATGCTTTCTCTAATGAAGAATCTCTTATGAATGTAATTTCTAATGAAGAATTAATATTCAATAATGTAATTGTCACAAAATAACAATTTTTATCTTAACAAATAAATACAATGAGTAACATAGACAAGATAATAAAATGTATATTTCAACGTATATGAACATAATAATAATGTGTGAATAATATATACCAAATGAATTAAAATTGCTCACACAACAGTCAAACTAAAAAAACAAAAATACTTCGAGCAAAAGTAAAATCACAAATGCAGAAAAGGTACAAGTTGACACATTGTCAGAACAAAAAAGAGCATCAAATGAAGAGTACAGCATGCATTTGTAATACATTTTCATTTCTTTTTTACATGAATATAATTTTAAAATAATGTTTATTGTTAATAAATATTGTTTACAAATAAAAAAAACGATAGTTAACTCCAAAAAAAGGGGGGATCAACAGTGTACTGTAATCTACCAAATATATAGAGTTAAATTTGAGCATCTGATAAAAGAAAACAAAAAAATTTCAGGATCAACTGAAGCTAAAACCTTGATTTTACTTCTACTCAAAGTTCCAAAATTTAAGTGGGTAGTAAACTCATATTGAATTGAGGTAATACTGGCAAAGGGTTAAACAAATTTGTCTATCAACTGCCAAGTTTTGGTATGAAATTTTTAACATAAACATGAAGTTGAAATTCTATTTAATTTGAACTATAGATTTTAATTGGTATTTTCATTTTTTACTTGACTTACAATCTAAAAACCAACTTTATAAGTTATTAATTGCCTTTATAACCACTGAAAAAAATTATTAGACTGTGCATTACTTACAATGAATTAAATGCATAGAAATATATTTCTATTACTTATAAAATATACATATATTGAGTCATCCAGAATGTTTATGTTGATTCTATAAAAACAGATAACATATGAAAACTAACGCTAATGGCACGAACGTTCTGGGCGACCCAATATATTAAATATGTGATATTTAAAACAACAAAAAAAGAACATTGCTGGAAATGTAAATAGGCATGAAAATTTCTGAAATTGGGAGATTCAGTATAAAACAAAATTACAATAAAAATTACCTTACAAAACATTTTAAAAATGAATTTTCAAGTACAGAGATGCTGTGTATCATATTTCCATTAAATAAATAAACAGTGGATTATAATAAAGAGAAAAATAAATTATTACAATGAAAGCATTTTTTAAAAAATAAATTTACAAATATTAAGGTAAGCCAAACACAAGGTTTAAGAAGACACAAAATTATTACCTTATCATATTGACACATAAATATTTAAAAAAAAAAAAAAGAAGAAGAAGAACTGTTAAGAAATTATAACTACATTGATCAACTATGAAAATTCCTACAAGGTTTTGTAGTTTAAAATGGAACAAAACTACAAAATCAAGATGGCTACAAATACTCAGAAAACAAATTTATTGACTTTTCCTTGATGTTTCCAGGTTGATTTTATCGAACTTTCTTGATTTTTGCAACCGGTGGCATACATTTTACTTTATTTTTTTAGTTGCGCCTTATTCTTAATACATAAACTACATTACAAAACACTTATTACAAGATTTTAGAGCTGAAAGTAAAGAATTCCTTAAAAAAAAAATATTAAAAGACCTGTTTAGACCTGAAAAAAATATTGGACTTTCAGGTACTTCACACTCAAATCATTTAATTTTCTCAAACTCCCTTTTGGGTATTTTCCCAAAACATTTCCATCTTTTTTTTCAGATAGATAAACTTTTCTGAGTATTTACAGAATAGGCTCCGTGACCACTTTAAAAATAAGAAGTGATCCATTTTCTCATGGAGCATACTTAACAGATGGGTGGAATAGTGCAAATTCACTTTACAAATTGCAGAATATTTTAATTGTTAAAACAACAAAATTAATTATTTGACAACACTTTAAATGCTAAAAGCTTTTGAATTAGGTTAATATTAAAATATATTAATAAACTAACATGCTGAAAACCCCAAGAATATACAGATTTATTCTTTAAAAACCCTTAAAAGATAACAAAAATGCTTTTTTCAAACTTTCTTGTAAGATAATTATTTATAATTTGTTTGTTTCCTTATGTCTTATAAGATTATTATTTAAAACTTATTTTAGTCTCATAAGATAAGAATTGAAATTCCAAATTCTATTTAAAAGTAATGGTAAATTATACAATATAAATAGCCGATTGCACACATAAAAGAAAATTAGTTCAAATGAATCAAGTAAATCAAATGTTGTTATTAATTGAGAAAAGGTAAAATTTATTATATTTCGGATAAGATTAAAATGTTCATTAGAAAAGTTATTAATTCTGCATCACAGATAATTTGGCCAAGAAATAATCCCTTAATGACATTAAAATAACTTACCCTCATCAATTTTTGAGACAAAGAATACTCATCTTCTCCGATATAAAAAAATGGTCGATTCTGCTTCAACCCTTGGTAACCTTGCTCCAATTCTTGATAAGACATGGAAGAACTTTGTACACCTAGAATAATTTTAAGGTGATTAAAATGACTTTATAATATCAGAATAAAACAAAAATGTTCTGCCTTATTTTTTATAAAGGATAAAAAAAAAATTCTGAACATTTATGTAAACACTTAAAAAAAAAAAAAAAAAAAAAAAAAAAAAAAAAAAAAAAAAGAATGCATTTATTATACAAACAAGTAATTAATTTACAAACTGACTTTTATTGCATTGGGTAATGAAAAATAATCAAATAAAATTAGTTACTTGGTGAGTCACTAGTATTAGATATTTGGTCACCAATACCAAATGAATTTAAATTAACATAGAATTAGATACATTTAGAAAAGAAGGGACAATAAATTTGAAAGAATTTGATACATCTTCAATTTCTTCAACAACACCAACAAAACAATTAATCTTAAGTTTAACCTTATCATTTTATTAACTAATTGATAAATTTTTTAAGTAATAAAGAAAGAAAATAATTTTTTACATGTGTATTTAGTAACAGCTATTTTATAGCATATTCAAGACGTCTCCTCTCTTTTAAATATAACAACCATTAGAAACAAAAGATGTATTATATTCTTTAATCATATTAAGATATTTAAACAAACATACAAATCTATTTTAAATTGAGACATTGGGAACCAAGTTAAACAACTTTATTCTAATATTCTTCAATAAAGAATAAAAAATACATCACAAGCAGCTCAAATTCAAGCCAGCAAGAAATCAATAGCTTTTACTCTGAAATAGTTGATCAATTAGCTTAACATAACGGAAATAAAAAACAAGAGGTTAATTAGTGGAATCTGTGGATATTTTAAAGATTCGAGAAAAACTCAATATATGTTATTTTATTACAATTGAAAAATGGTTTTAACTATAAAAAAATAAAACTGTAATGACAATGAACACAATTGTAAAAACAAATTGTGTAGAAGAAATTAATTTAATACAGCCAAATTAAGCATCAATTGCAGATTCATTTTTAACAGGTAAAATCAGTAACCATATCAGAATAAAAATTTGCAACAAACCAAATCAAATTAGAAATATTATCAAGACATTAAAATGTAAGGGAAGAGTATTTTTGACAAAACTTGATCTTTTTTTCAGAATTAAAAGTGTAAAATAAATATCTTTTAACACACCAGGTAAACTAATATTCAGAACATAAGTAAATTATCTGCTTTATAATGCTGAAAATAATCTTTTTTCTTGAATTTAAATTTAAAAAAACTATAATGGGAATAAAAAAATTAATCTAAAGTTAATCAACTGTCCAATATGTTTACAGATAGTCTTTAATAAATATTTAAAAAATTATTAAATAACTTTTTCATAAAATAATATTTTTTCACAATTTAAAGTGTATTTGCCATTAGGAATGTATTTTGACCACTAAAAATATAAAAAGGTAAAAATTTAGCTTTTTATAAATTTCAATACATAGTTGAAAAAGAAAAAAAAAACTTGGTTAAAACTTTTAGCATTGTTTTCGAATGTATTCTTTTAAATACAATCCAAGATATAATTATTAAAATATCCATAAATTAAACCCAATAAATCTAAAATTAATATACAAACCCATCAAACGATAAAGGCTCCAAGCAGAAAGTAGAACTCTACCAGAGAAACAATTCTAACGTTGTATCTCAAGCAAAATAACAAAAGTAGATAAAATCATTTTCTTTTATCTGAAATAATGTAACAAAATAACTCGTTTTTGAAATATCAGTAATTTATTTAAGGTTTATAGATTCAATATCAGATTTATGACTTATAGATTGTCAATATAGTCCTACTTGAAAAACAAAGAATTTAACTTTCAATTAATAAGTAAAAATTTCTAAAAATTTTCATGAACCATTTTCTTTTTTCTTTTTTTTTATTAGAAAAAGGGAAATTATTAGATTTTGAAGATTTTTGAAAGAAATCTTCAAAAATTTAGCTTTATTGAAGATTTCTTTTAAAAAATAATTTTAGTTTATACCAGGCATATCACAGTTTTATGGAGACATTATTATATGGATACTTGTCCCTGAATAACTAAATTTACCTAGTGCTATAACCAGTTATTTGATTTCAATAATACGAAAGTCATATATAATAGCTTGCCCAGAGACAAAGCAGTTTCACCTTTCCAATTAGTTTCTTGTGGACTGATGACCAGCAGTTGATAAAACTTGGCCATTTTTTCTAGCGGAGTACAATACAGAAATTATACGAATAATATGTAAACTCTGTAATAATATGTAGAAAAATATATATTATGGGTATATTTCCATATCAGCACCAATATGTGCCTACTTCAATTGCCAAGATGCTAAAAGGATTAGCTAAATGCGAATAGGTTTCTCCTGGATTGTCACGAGATACACTCTTTGAGTTTTTTTTTGGTTTTATACAGGCCATTGTGCAGAAAACTTGACTAAAACTTTGTAATTATTTTGGCAAAGGTAAGTACTGAAATGGAAATCTTTCTTTTATTACAACAGTAAAGGTTCAAGATTAAGGAAAATTTTCGTATCATGATCTGAGGTAGAATATTCATTAAGTCTTTCCAACTTTTGGGCAGTATAGCTCCTGCAAAACAAAATCAAATATCATAAAAGAGGACCAACTCGAAAGGGAAAAACATGCAGTCGCCCCTGGCCAAACCTTTACTAGTTAGTTTGTTTTTTTGACAATTTGCAGGTTTAAAATCCATTCGGCGCCTTGACGATTACAGTAAGCACAGCAGATCATCATAAAGAAATATTCCCAAAAATTATTATGTTATAGCCTCTAGTCTGCTTAGAAAAATACTAACAAGATAAAGATTTTTCAGAAACAATTCATAAAAATGTACGCAACACTAATTAGCATAAAAATATTTTATGAAAGTCAAAACTATAAGAACGAATTTCCGATTAATATTCTAAGGAAAGTGCCACGAAAATTCTGACTTAGATTAATATTAAATAAAAAATTATATGTTTATTAACTCACATCGTAATAAATTATAAGAAGTGAAAACAAATTTTATGTAACAAGAATACCTTAAAATGGGGAGATTTTAACACACTCAGCAATCTGGAAAAAGTGTTTTATAGTGATTCCCGTACCGTTCCAGTCAGAACTCTATCGGGATATACATATCATCTTTTGAAAGGGCAAAGGTAAAATATACGAACTAAGGTTTACAAACAACATAATTATCGGAAAATGTAACAAATATCTGTAAAATTTATAAATAAATAAAAAATTGCAAAGACTTTCTTTAAAATTAATGAATGAAATACTTAAAAAAAATGGAATTGTTTTAAATGGCAAACAAAAATCAGAGCACAAAACTGCATTTTCTCACCTTTAATGATGTTATACTAACACTATTCTCGATACGAAAAACTTTATTGGTTTTTAAACCAGAATGTAAGTAGTAATATAGCAATTAATAATGACAAAAATTAATTGAAGCGCATTTGCGCTATGATATCAGTTTTTGTTTATATTTACTTTTAGGCAGTGTCTATTACACCGACTATCGGTAAGATAGCCTCAGAGCTATCGCGCCGACGTTGACAACAGCGCCACTTTACAGAAACTAATTCATCGGTACAATAGCTATAAGTTATGNCCGTTACTTTTATTTATTTATTTCCACGGTTACAAGTAAACTCTAAAATATTATGAATGCATATTTTTTTTTTCTAACTTAATCAAATAAAAAACGTTAATTCTCATTTAATTTTAATTTTACCACAACTCTCGCTTTTCTAAAGTTTGATAAAATGGCATGCAGTCAATATTAAAGGTTTTAAAAAAGTTCGCATTAGCATGAAACTAAATGCATTTTCAAACATTATATCTTAATGTTGAAGAAACAATTCAAAGTCATTTAATTATTTTTATTTATAAAAAGTTAAAACTTACATTTTCATAAATTATATATCAAACCTTTCTTTTAATTTTAATTAACATGCATGTGTTAAAAAGAGGATTTAGATCGAACTTCAAAACAAATTTATATTTTTTTCAAATCATGTGTTATAAATATGATTGTCCAAGATTACATTCAAACTCATCTGTAAGTGAAAATAATATCTGAAAGTTTTCTCTCTATTTTAAGAACTGGATAGCTTTTCTTTCTTTTTCACTGCTAATGAGTAAAGGGCTTTATCTGAATTTAATACTGCTGTAGTTTGACTTTAGACCAGAAAATCTATTGAATTAAATAATATAAAATATACAGCTTTCTACACACAGTTTCATTATCTATTGATATAGATAGTTTAGAATCAATGATATTGAATTCTTCGGGACTGAGAAACTATCAAACTGAATGTAAGGTATTTAACATATGTATCAAAATTCTGTATAAATAGTTCTACAACTTCCTAGAAATTTTCTCAAAAAGGTACAGCAAATGAAATATTCATTATAGTTTTAAAGAAATAATTTATTGTTTAATTAATTTATTTATTTTGTATTACTTAAAAATAATTTTGCATGTTTGAGAAAATATTTTAAATTTTACAACAAAAGAACTTTTTTTAATAAATATGTTACTATGTTAATTAAATGTGTTATTCGCACAATATATTAAGTTTTTTTATTTATTTAATCAAAAATGATAATTAATTTTAGTATTAGATTAAAAGATGCAATGTTTGTGCCACTTTCATAGTCTTATTCGTAAAAGTATTATTTAAAAAAATATAATTGATAACAGTAGTTGTAAATTATACTTTTTTTTCCATTGGATTTCCAGGGGTGCAAATGCACCTTCTTTACTTTCCTTGCAAGTACCCATGCTACTTCTGTTAAAATAAGATGATCCTAATTATTAATTAAAGTTATGATTATAATGCAAAAGTCTAATTTATATTAAAACCATTTTGTTAACTCTAACATACAGTGTCAAGAATTTAAATTTTATGTGCAATGCAAATTAAATATATTTAATAATGTATACATTGACCTATACTAAATTATGTGTCTTTTTTATCTGAACATATATTGGTTATTCATTGTAGAAGTGAAGTATCTCTTTGTAAATGGATTTTGAAGTAACAAACTTTTTACATGCATTGTGTTGGTAAACAAATGCAAGTATTCAGATATTTATGGGATTTGAATATACAGTGGAAAGTCGCGTATCCGGAATCGGCGGGACTTTCCGAAGTCCGTATAATCGATTTTTCCGTATAATCGACCTCCAAGGTAAACAAAGCTTAAAATGATCTGAATCTAAGAAGTAGAAAATAAATAAACATTGTTTTTCGGGCAATAACGTTTTAGTATTAGAATGATATCTAATCAATCATAAACAAAATATTAGAAAAAAAAATAATTATTGCTATTCTAAAAATAAATATAGAAAACGAAAAAAATTCCCAGTTATGAAAATATTAATTGCTCTCTCCACCATTTTGAACTAGAACGATTCAAGCAAGAAGGGGAAATTCCCGTCATTCAATAAGGTGGGTAGGTGGAGAAGAAAAATTCATTTCCTCCTTACTTGTCATTCAAGTTGAGGGCGGGGTAGTGACAAATTCTTATTTTCTCTCCCATCATTGGCTATCAATCAAGCATAAAGGCGTGGCATGCTAATTGGGTTCTCTTTATTTTTTCTTGTGTGACTAAAGGGGATTCCCCCTCCACTTTAACATTCAAAAAGGTTCCAGGAAATGCCTCTTTTACTAGCCAGCTGCATAGGAAAGAAGGGGGAGGGAGGGGACTCAGTTGTGCTCTTTTGAAAACAACCCCCCCCCCTTTCCTGCATTCCAGAGGAGGAGCGTCATGGTCTTAGTAGATCTTCTGTTCTCTTTTCTGTTGATTTATGGGTTCAATGCATAGATCTCTAGAAGCTGAGAGGGGGAAAAACCTGTCAAAAGACTTCGTTTTTTTTTTTTTTAAAGGAGAGGGGAAGATGAAGAAATGTTTGTTTATTTTGATTGTTAAAAAGTGTCCGGGAAATCGACCCTTCCGGAAAAGGGACGTCCGGATATGGGACGTTACACTGTAATTATTAAACTTGCTTCATTTTCATAATGGAAGATCAGACTCGAATATCATAATTAAGCAAAAAATGCATATTTTAAAATTTTGGAGTTTACCACTTTTATACATTTTACTAAAGTAAAATAAAATTTGTCTTATTTTTTTCATGAAAATAATACTTTAGCTTTATTTCTTTGATAACATAAATTGTCCTTTACTGAATTTAGTGTTTTATACAACTGGATTTTACTACTACTGTTAATCAATATTTTCACAATAGTCCACCAAGCAAAAATGGTACCTTCATAAAAATTGTCACAGTAAGATCGTTACTTTCATAAAACTTGTAATTATCCTAGCAAAATTGACACTTTTCGAGAAAGAATAAAAAAATTGGCATCTAAATTTTTATTAATGGTCAAATTGCAGAAAAATAATCCAGTGTACATGCATGTTTTGGAAGTCCTGTGAATATGTGCATATTTCGCAAGTCCTGTGAACATATGCAAGTTTAATGACACATACGTACCTCAATTAATGTTTTTTTTTTCCTTTCTTTTTGTTACATTTGAACATATTTTTCACCGAAAATTATGACACGCTAAAAGTCTTTACAACAATAAAATATCGTTAAAATCTTTCTGAAAATTGGGTAATGAGTCAAAAATTCAGGATTAATCCCTGGAATTATGATACTTTTTTTTACATAAATGTATGTGTCTAGCAAAAGTAATCTATAAGTTTAGAATTTACATTGTACTTTTTGCATAAAAATTATTTTAACTTTACTTTTTTAACAGTATCAAATATTTTTCTATACTAAATTATATGATGCCCTTTCTATATAAATGTGTAGTTATCTGACAAAAGTAAGATATAAATTATATATTATTCTTCGTAAAAAGAAAAATTGTTTAGTTTGATAATTATTCTTTAAAAGTGATGATTACTTTATAGGATGGTATTGAACCTTCCATATTTGTAAATAATTGTAATAGAATATTGATCGCTATGATGCATGGAAAGAATGTGCTATTTAATTCAAATAAATTTTATTGGTTTTTTGTTGTACAAGATCTTAGTTTATAACTTCTAGTTAGCTTTTCCCACATCTCTTCAAAAACTAACATTTAAAATATCTAGAATCCTAAAAAAAGTAACTCCTCAAAAATCTTATTGAGTTATTTCATTTCATAAATAACTGCCATTTCATTTTCAAGTTAATACTTTCAGCTATGTGAAAAGTGTAAAATTTTCCCGATTTCAGATTATTCAATTTTTCAAAAGAAATATTAAAATAAATAAATTATGTTTTTTTACTTATATTTTCACGAAAAATTTATGGCTATAACAAAGGATAAAAAAATCCCATTTAGTGTTGTATGAATATTATTTATTAATCTCAAAACCTTCTGTATTCACTTGAAATATGTATATCAATTAATTTATTCCTATCCATGCAAATTACAAAATAGAAAGCATTGTTTAATTTATAAATATTAAAAAAACAAATTAGTTACCTATTACCTTAAAAAGCTGACTGCTCTAAATATCATAAGATATAAAAGTATCATTTCATATATGTAACACACTTGTCAAATTCATTTTAAATATTTCAGCATAATTTTTTTTTTTTAAATCTTTATACTAATGATTTTTTTTAATTTTTAAATCTAATATTTCTTGCAGAAATATTTTGAAGGAATAAAAACAAAGCCTTTTAGTGAAAATGACAACCACATCTGGGTTAGCCCACCCCATCCAAAATCAAATTTACGTTTAAAAGTTTTTCCTACTTCTCAACATTTATCAAAAGAAGAGAAAGCATTTTATCAGAAATACGAAGAAACTCAAGACTGGAATCATGAATACTGGGAAACTCATAATAATGACTTTAAGAATGTAATTATTTTACATCAATTTGTGTGTTTTTATTTTTATGCATTCTTATTTAACATTTTGAATTTATTGTCATGGTATATTTTACTATTATAATGTATTTTATACATTCCTAACTGATTTGAAATATCTTTTGTAAATCTAATATGTTAATACAAAGATATTTTTGTGTAAAATAATTTCAGATATATTAAATGTTTCCCCAAATCAGTTCATTTTCAGTTACTGGAAATTGTTTGAAAATGAAATAGTTTTTTCTCTGAAAATGTACCATATCATAACTCTGGATGAAGAGAAATGCAGAAATTATAAATTGCTAAATTAAAAATTATAATTGCACATTTTTCTTCATTCTGATATTCATACTAAATATAATGCTTATGCAAAATTATCTTTTTTTTTTAATTAAATTGTTTGCTCTTTTACGTGTAATGCCCTGTATTATCATATTAAGCTCAAAGATTACCTCTGTTATTTGAATTTTAAATGTTGCTTGTCTTTATTAAAAAATATTTTCTGTTACTAACGAAGGGATAGATTTTTTTAAAAAATATATAAATATGATCGGCATAATATTTTTAAAACATATTATTTGCATAATAATTGTGAATGGTTTAACTTCAACCATGACTTGTTTCTTTAAAACTTGTGCAAACTATTTATAATGTTTATTTGCTTTGAAGATCATTTGGAGTAAAGTTAGTTCCTAACATTGTTTTACAATTTTAAACAATTATTTTGTATTCATTATTTTAATTACATATGTTTAATGGACATAGTTTTATAATTTATTAGAAAGTAAATTAATAATTGTAAAATGGTAACAAAAAACTTATATTTTCTTTATACTGTAATATTGAGACACCACTTTTAGTTTGGAAAGTATAATAAATGAATTATACAGCAAATATGGTTAAATACGAGATAAAGGAATAAATTACAGCATAAAATGTCTTTATAACTTTTATACAGTTACATACAAAAATATTTGAATCTTTGTTTATTTTAATGACCATATATTTTTCTATACAGGGAAAATGAAAAATCAGGGGATGACAATTGTCTTTTAATAATATGTAGAGAAATAAAGTTTTTTTTTCTTCTTTTGGAATCCTTTAAAAATATGTTCTAAAGGATATATCTAAAGATATAAGGACAAAGAATATGAAAAAAATTTAAAGGAGAAAGGATTCTTGACTTTTACTTTAAATCTCATTTTGTCTTTCAACTGCTCTTTTTTATATTATTACCGAACTTGTGATTATATTATAGAAGATAGCTAATTTATTAATTTTTACCTATCTAGTCTAGAAAATTATATATTGAAAAGATTTCCAAGGAAAAAAATTTGTCTAAAGATGAAAATCTAACAGATGAAGATATGAGTCACTTTTACAGAGACTTCTTAGAAAGGAATCACAAAAAACATATGGATTATAACTGGTAAAAATTTTACAATTCTTTTGAATTTTAGTTTTAGCTTTACTTTTTATTCTTTTGAAATGTAATCTTTATTTGGCATTTAATTCTTTCAAATTTTAGCTTTAATATTATGTTTAATTCTTTTGAAATTAAATTTTCATTTTATGCTATTGTTTTGTGAAATTTTTGACTTTCCTTTTCAGTTTAATCCCAGATAATGCTATGTTTTTTTAGTTTTGTACTATTGATAAATATACACAATAGTAATAGGTTATAAGTCATATATTAGTAATAGGTTGTAGACATGCTAGTTATTTATCAAGTACTACCTATGTCTAATGTATTATGTAATATTACTCACATTAATTGTATAGAAATATAAATTTTAGGATTCAAAATGTATAATAAAAATATTTTTATCCCTTTAGGTCTTGGTATAAGAAGAATCTAAATCTACTATATTTAGCTGCTAAGGTAAACATAGGTAGATTTAAAAGATTTTTCAAGAAAATATAACAATTGAAACTAATTTTAATTACCATTGTGCTTTCATTTAATTATTTCAATATTTATTTTCGTCACATACAGAAAAGAAAAGAAGTTTCAATATATTGTAAAATAGTTTTGCAAATAAACTTTCATATATCCATATGCAATGTTTTATATTAAGTATTTCATATGCCTCTATTTTCTTTTTGTTTTAACATAATCTGAGGTTTATTTATTTATGTTATTACAATGTATATTCATTGAGTTATTTCCCATAAAATTCATCAGACTATCTCAAATCTGCATCATATTTATAATTTTTTATTCATTGCTCTTTATCCTTTTGTTAGACTTTGGGGGAGGCATATTGAGAAAATCTTAACCAAAATCTGCATTAGACTGGAATGCTGATTCAGAAGGAAGTCAAAATCATTTTAAATCATATTAATTGAAAAATTAATAAAAGCCTGAAGTACCAAAATATTTTAATAGGAGAAATCGTTAGTTTTGTGAATTTAAAATGGGATGTTAGTAATTAATGATTGAAGCAAAATTTTTCCTAAAATTATACAAAAAGTAAGAATTTTGAAAATAAATATGCTCTCAGTTATTAAAATTTAAAGTTTCATTCTGATGAGTATTACTTAAGCAGGGGTGATTGTGAGCCCAAGTCAAAATTCCGAAAAATTTCTTAAGTTAAAAAAAAAAAAAAACAACACTTTAAATGGAAAAAAATTTAAACAGGGGTTTTTCCTTTTCCTCAATCTTTCTTAGTTTACTTAAAATATATTTAAAATTTTACACATACTTATACCATTTACACATACATATGATAACCTGGAGAAGTAATTGAAATTTACAATCTTTCTTTCTTTAGTTAATGATTATAATAACTATATACTGATAAAAAATTCATATTAATCTTGAATATAAAGTATCTGGCTCTCCCTTACAAACAAATAAACTGTGTTTTTAAGTTCCACCTTTCAAAATTTGATTTCCGGAAACTTTTGTGATCAATGATTTTTTTGAAATGTCTGGATCTTCGATCTCCGGAAACTTCCAGATCACGATTAGCGAAAAATCCGGATTTTTTCTGGAGCACAATCAGCCCTGCTTAAGCTAAATTCTTAACACGATTTTTATCATGAATAAAAACTTATTTCTGACAGTGTTTATTTATTTACTTTTAGAGTTAATTGAACTCTGTTTGATCTAACTTGTTTAAATAAAATAAAACAAATAAGAGAAAAACAAATAGTGAATAAATATATGCATTTATTTATACAAAAATAGAATATTTTACAATAAATATTCTCAATGTGAGAAAAGTTTTAAAATATTCTGANTCCGGAAACTTTTGTGATCAATGATTTTTTTGAAATGTCTGGATCTTCGATCTCCGGAAACTTCCGGATCAGGATTAGCGAAAAATCCGGAATTTTTCCGGAGCACAATCAGCCCTGCTTAAGCTAAATTCTTAACACGATTTTTATCATAAATAAAAACTTATTTCTGACAGTGTTTATTTATTTACTTTTAGAGTTAATTGAACTCTGTTTGATCTAACTTGTTTAAATAAAATAAAACAAATAAGAGAAAAACAAATAGTGAATAAATATATGCATTTATTTATACAAAAATAGAATATTTTACAATAAATATTCTCAATGTGAGAAAAGTTTTAAAATATTCTGACGAATATTTCATAGGAACATTATCCTGTTATCAAAATGCAAAGTTGAAAGACAGTGAATATCAAAATACAAACAGCAAATATAACATTATGTACAAAAAGCAGCATTTATAACCATTTTAGTTATGTATTTTCAACTAGTTGTTTATTAGAAGTTATTTCAAACTTACTAATAAAGTCATAAATTCTGAGAAAATTTTTGTTATTTAATTAATTTTATTAAGAAAATTGATAATACTTCATTTGAAAAGAATTAAACATAAAATCATTCAAAATATGAATTAAGTCAAAAAAGAAAGGCTTGAGAGTTGTGTTAATAAATTTAAATAGATAAATTAGAGGTACAAATATGCAATTCAATTTAATTGCAACCATTCTTCAAATTAAAACAAACTTGTGACTTACATTGTCATTTTAAGTCTTACATAGATTATTTTTTTAAAATTATAGTCTATTTGCCCTTATACTCTGGCAGCAGACTAGCAAATTAAATTTGAAGAACAATTAACTTTTAAAAAGTAACTCTGTTTCAATACTGAGGAAAACTTAGAATAAAGGATCAATGCAATTTGATAAAAATACAACTGTTGTACTAAGTTATATAAAAAATAATATTTTGTTTACAGATAACATAAAGTTTATGTTAGTTTAATGACTTAATTTTATTTGCCATTTTACAGTTTGAAACTATGATTTACTATTAATACTATTCTTAAAACAATCTTAAGAACAGTAAAGTAATGTGCTCAATTTTACTGAAAGTAGGACATTTTTATCTGCATGGTACTTTCTAAAGTTATTTGAATATAAAAGAAAACAAATATTTTTCAAAAAAAACGGATTAAGTTCATGTTTGTATGAATTTATAAGGACAGTTTAAGACTGTTTCATGCCTAAATTTATATTACTTGATTAAAAAATTTTTTCAGTTATTTAAAAGAAAAATATTCCAGGAATAAGTCTACAATTTAAATTTATTATTTTAAAAAAATTATATTCGTAATTTAAAATATGAAAAGCAAATGCAGGCATATTCTTCATTATGCAATGTCAACTAGAAAAGAAATAAGTTTAAATATTTTAAAAAATAAATTTATAATAAATATTAAAATATTTTTTTTAAAAATCGGCACTTTTAGTCTTGTGTTGAATGAAATGCACAATGAAAATGCTCTAATATTTCATGCATATTTGCTAATAATTTATTAACTTATTTGTCAAAAACTAAGTTTAAACATTTTCAGATGTTTTATATATATATATCAAAAAAAAAGAAATAGCTTTGACATGATTGAATGGGGAATTGGATAATATATTTAAACAATTGCAAAGGAAAATTCTTCTAATCCATCAGAGAAATGCCAATGTTTTGGTTTATGTGAACAATAATCTAAATATATAAAAAGACATATCCTGACTGACTGAATCAATATTGCAAAGCTTAAACTACTGAAGCTAGAAACATTAAATTTAAACAATGGGTTTCTTTTTCTGACATAGGTACACACTAAGGAAGGTTATGCCTTCCACCCCTAAGGGGGTTAAATAGAGGTTGAAAGATTGTAACCTCTAGTAATAAACTGAAAAGTGTGTGCATGTGTCTCCCTTAAAACTCCAGAACCGTTAGCACTAGTGTTCTGAAATTTGGACTGCAGATAAAAAGAGGTTATTTTAGCTCTTGATCCTAAAATGTGTTTAAAAATTTCAATTAGATTGTTTGGGAGAAACATTTGAAAAATGGAGTTTTCTGATTGGTTTAGCATTAGCCATTGTTTTAAATTGAACTATGACTGTCCTATTCTTTTTTCATATATTTTAAAGATAACATCATTGATATTTGCTAGTTTATAGCTCTTATTTTAAAAAAAGAATTTACTGCACATTCTTTAATAATTAATTTATTAGTAGCTATGTTTGATAAACTAAAAGATCAATGAGAACATTGTAGCATATAAAGACTAAGTCACCAAATTAGTATTTCTAAAGTTATCAAAAACCATGTGCTTAATTTGCTTACAGTTAGGCTTTTAAAATGTGTTTCTATAAACTAAATAATTTAAAATCAACCTCATTTGAAATTTATAATTCAATAAGAAAAATAAATGGAGAAATGGGGCAAATTCATTTAAGAGAAACATTAAAAATTGGCATACTAAAATTGATGCCAATGATACTGAATTAATTTTGGCAATAGGTACAAAAGGAATAAAAAAAAAATAAACCATTTGCTAAAAATCTAATTAATTGAGAAGTGTTTGCAATTAGTCTAGGAGAAAAATTGTCATATTATTATTGACACCAATGATGCTTTGGAAATTAGCACTACTGGTATTATGGTAATTGGTTCAGTTTGAATAGGTATACTAATATAGGTACTAAGATATTCATATTCGTATATTTGTACCTGTTAAAATTGCATCAATACTGTGCAGATTTATGATACNAATATTTTCCACGTACCCTCGCTAAACTGTTCTCGTACCCCTGGGGGTACGCGTACCACACTTTGGGAAACACTGGTCTAGGAGAAAAATTGTCATATTATTATTGACACCAATGATGCTTTGGAAATCAGCACTACTGGTATTATGGTAATTGGTTCAGTTTTAATAGGTATACTAATATAGGTACTAAGATATTCATATTCGTATATTTGGTACCTGTTAAAATTGCATCAATACTGTGCAGATTTATGATACTGTAGAATGAAATTTGGTAAAAATTTGTCATATTATTGAGGTCAATGAGGCTTAATTTTGGTAACTGGCACTACTGGTAATTCGCTCAGTTTAATCGATACCAAATATACTAAGATACCCATGCTCGTATATTTGGCACTTATTAAAATTGACCTATATAAAGAGATTTCCTACGGCCTCTTGAAAGTGATAAGTATTGCAGAAAATCACTTATTTGTATTAAATTTTGACTATCACGAGCTGGTTTTGAGTAATAGTATTAAGTCAAATGATACTGAATACAGTTAATCTTTATTTTGATGGGAGGAACTAATAAAAGTGTGTTCAGCTCAATCTAATAGCATAAAACCACATAGAAGATGAACAATGCATAAATTTTAAAAAAAATGAATTTATTATTTAAGCTTTTTTTTAATTGTTTTGGTATGTATCTAAGTTTCGTGTATGATTTAAGCGTTATTTAGTACCGACTTTACTAATTACTTATGCTTTTTCTCACCCCTAACCAAGAACGGAAATTTAGCTAAATGCATGTATATAAACAATTGTTATGGACTATTATTACCTTTTATCTAATCAACAAAACAATTTCATTTAATCATATTGTGAATGACATGTCTTTATATTACTTTTAAATATTTCAATTAATTGTGCAAATAACTATTTGTCAAAAGCATAAGTTTAAATTCATTTAAAAAATGTCAGATACCCTTTGGTTTTACTGAAGATCTATGATGCACTATATTTAGTGCCTTATTATTAGGAACTGATGTTATTCAAGGATTCCAAGAACCACATCCAAAAGGGATTCATTTCGCTGTTTTAGGATAACACTGTCATCAAAGATCTACACAACGTAGTTTCCTAGAAGGCACTCTAGATGCATAATCCATAGGAGGTGACCTCCTGCTCTCTTCTTGTTCCTGCACTTCAACTGAACCACCAGCTATGCCAGCAACAGAGAGTGGACAATGGTCACCCATAACATCGTCTACAGATAAATTCCTTTCTTTTAGCCTTACTCGAACTAAATGCTCTAGATAATATAGATGCTCATCCCAAGCATCTGGCACATGCTCTTTCATGAAACTAACAATCCTCAGAAGATATTCTGCATTGTGTCCGCAGTGGCCTGCAGCCTCTGCAATATCAGAAGCCACCTCAGGTAATGGTGCAGGACCCATGTACAGGTGACTAGAGGGAAGGGCCATATACAAAAGGACTGGGAAAGATTCTTCTTTTGAGTCTCTAGGCTGGAAGGAGACAACTGTTGTGCAGTACCCACCCAGTTTAGTCTCCCTGCTGTCTAAGTAAGCAAGAGAAGATTCAGCTCCCGGTCCTAACAGGAAAGCTCTGCCCCATGTCAGACCCTAAAAAGTATAATTAGGTACTTTGAGAACAAATAATATTAGAACCGAAAAAAAAATATTAGTAAGGCTACATGGCTGCAGCATTAAATAAATTTATGAAAAATGTGGAATTAAAATAATTGTGTTTGTTTTAATAATCACCAGGAAAATATTTATGCTACCAAATCTCACAAAGTATAAACAGGGTGCGTAGCCAAATTATTCAACAAAAAATAAGCACTTTTCAAGCACTCAAAAAATATTTTTAAGCACTTTTAGGCAGGGTTAGAAAGTTTTTGACAATTGACGGTTTTATCTTGTTTTAACCATCATGTTAAAAAAAAAACCTTTTGGCATTGTTTTTGACAATTGTCAAAAATCATGAAATTTTGAATCATGTGAAACGAATGGTGTTTTCATACGGTACGGACTGACAATGCACCGAAATAGATTGGGGTTGAATTAATTGTGAAAACGTTGAATAGAACAATGTTAACTGTCTCTTTTTGCATAATTCGTAGCAAAAATCAACATAGTGAAGGAAACGTCTCATTTTAAAAAAAGGAATATTAAGCACTTTTTAAAAACATCCAATGAAAAAAGAACCTTTTAAGGGCTTTTAAAAATCGAAAATAAGCACCTTTAAGAACTTTTTAAAAACGCTACGCATTCTGATAAAATACACAAAAAAAATTTATTATAAATTTCCTATTAAAAAATCTCTGAGTTGGGCATTCTACTATCCAAGAGGTGTTTTACCTAGACAGTGGCAAAAATTGGTTAAAACTGACCTTTATGTTGGTTAAAAAATTCCTTTTTGCCTTAGGAGCTGGTAAAAACCTAATTCTGCAGGAATAGAATGACAGCTAGGCAGTTTTTAAACCTGTGGCAAAAACTTGCTAACTTTGTTAAAAAATACTTAATCCAAAATAATGTTTTAATTATATATTGCAACACAACCTCCTTTTAAAACTCAATTTCGAGAACCAGTGTCACTAGAAAAGTATAATGGCCTTATGACTTATCAAATTACACAAAGTATCAAACGCACAAAATAAAATAATTCAATTTATTAAAATTTGGTATTTAATCTAAATAAAATATTTTAAATATATTTTGTTATACAACCTTTTTTTAAATAGAAATTTGATCAATTTAAATTTATTTCTATTTCTGTCATTTTATCTTACTTAATACTTATCTTAAAAATACTTAACTCTCCTTATCCTTTTTAATAAAAATGTATAATAGTTATACTTCATAAAAACACTAATTAAATGGAATAAAACAACTGAATTTACTGACCTGTTCTTCTTCAACAAGGGTTGCTACGCGACCAAGCTAGGGAGAGAAAGAATGACCAATGTAATATACATTTTGTAATACAAATCTCGAGTATAAAATTTAAAAATATATATCTACCATAGATTTTGCATTTTTTAATTGATGTTGGAGTTATTAAAAATAGAGTGACATGATATTTTAGGTATTAAAATTATAGAATGCTTTTTTACGCTACCCGAATTAAAAAATTTAGCATATAATCATGTTTTTTATTATTTATCTTTATTATATGTTTAATTATAGAGCTGAGAGAAGTGAGAGGTATGCCTATAGATCAGATTGTCACAATAGACTAAAGACGAGCCGTGGGTGGCTCAGGGGATAGAGTGTTCGCCTCCCAATGATGGGCCCCAGGTTCGAATCCCAGTGATGGTAGGTCAAGATAATTTCGCGCCAACAACAGTGCTGACGTCAAATATCATCAGTTGTAGATGTATTATGGGTTAGAGTCCCCTTGCTGTCAGGCTAACTGCGAGAAGTTTTCGTGGTTCTCCTCGCTACGTAATGCAAATGCAGATTAGTTCCGTCAAAAACTCCTCCATGAAGGCAAATTTCTCCCAATACTTGATCTGGGAGTTCACTTGTTTTCTGGATTGGGTTCAAAATTACAAGGTTACGGAGTTGAACATTTGTAGTCATAAACACAAAATTGGGTCGGCTGTTCAACAACGGTTGTAAAGTAAAATAAAATATGTTTTATTATAATTAAGTGTGGAAATTATATGTGTTAGAAATTATCTTATAATCTTTAAGGATAAAGCAGAAAACGAATTCCACTTTGCTCATGTTAACATAGGGAGATATATACAAAACATAATAATTACTTTTTTTATTAAGTAGTACAAACTTTTTTTATTAATAGTTTAAAAAAATATTTTCATTTAATTCATTGAAATTTGTTCTATTGAGTATTGAGCCTAGTCACCGAATTTTAAATAAGCAAATCTTATAATTTTTAAGATAGTAGTATTTTTAAAACTTTTCAAATGAAAAATTTGGTATCTGCTTAATTTTAATGGAACAATTTTCCAAGAATCGAAAATATTGGTAACCAGTAATTATGCATAAAAATGCATAGCATCCAGGCATAAACAAATATTTACAGTTAAAAGCGAATGGAGTTAAACTATCGTAGAGGGATTTTGTTTTATGGTGTGTACTGAAGCGCTTTTGATTTGTTATCACCAAGGATTGACCCGAAAATTGATTTGCAAGGTAAACTTGGTAACTAAGGTAATTTCAGTACTGCAGATGTGTTCTATTTTGTTTAAGTTTTTTTTAGTGCTCCTCACACCATTGTATTGATATATTTTGTTTTGGCTATATTGATACAATATTAGAAGGCACTCTTTTTTGCAGATATAATCGTGTGAGCAAATGAAGAGATATCTTTTCATTTTTTTTTAATTCCGGCTTTTTAAGATATATTTTTTTAATTTCTTTTTTTCTTTAAATATTTTTTAAAAATATTCTATTTTAATAATTTCTCTTTTCATTAATCTTTATTATTTTCCATGTTTTCTCCTATATTTTAATTATATATACATATTCCATTACTACCGAATAGCAACGAATTTGTTGATATAAGCTTTGTTAATAGCAATTATAACTCCTAATTTCGCCTTTTAATCAAATGAATCATTGAGATAAGAAGAAAAAAAAGATCCCTAACTGAATGATCTAAGTAGAAAATCAATTCAAATAATCTAATTTCTTTATCAGATCAATACCAATTAGATGAGTGATGAAAACCAAAGATGATATGCATTATTTTTGGAGACATAATTAAAATTGCTATCGAAGTGCAATTTTAAATTTTAAAAAGAATAAGTTAAGCGGATGCTATAAAAAGAAATAACGTAACTTGTTATTTAAGTCTTACTTCAACGATTACGCAATTATGCAAAGCGTAAAACTTGCGTACGAATTCCCTTTGAAAAACGTCCAAATGATTAACAAACAATGAAAAAGGTACTGCAATGTGAAAAAGGACCAAAATAGAATATTGACCCAACGCTGTTTGTGAAGCTTTTGGCAACATTCACGATTTTCGAGCAATTAATGAATTTAAGCATTCAATCTTAACTTTTCATCCAACCTCTTCAATAAGTTTTTATTAATAAAACAATATTTTGAAACAAACTTTTTAATTAACATTTTATTAATCGAATTAAATTTAAGAAAACTTTTGGAATTTTTTATTATTTTTATTTTCACGTAACTAAGGCAAATAAAAAAAAAGCTTATGTTTTATATTTTAAGTAAAACAAATTTAGGTATTCTAAAAGTCATTAAATATGATTTCCATGAATTATTAGCCAATCCTATTATTCGTTTAAAGACAATAGACGATAAATATTTAACTTCATTGAAAATAAAAACGTTTACGAGTGAGGTATACATTTTCGTCTTAATTTTGCAACTTAGAATGTACGTTTGATTTATCCCTCTCTCAGTCTATTTCAAACCTTCTTAAACTGCGAGCTGCGAAGTAAAGGAATAAAGATTCATTTCCAAAAAAATGTTTAAGAAGTAATTTGATTTTTTCAAGGTTTATTTTAAAATATAAGATACACAGAAATAAATTTAAGAAGAAAAAAAAACTTTTTTTTAAAAATAAAATTCACTTTTACCTACAATGATTGCCCTTTTTCTTTTTAGGGGCATCATACGTAAGTTTTAATTAATGAGTTTGCTCGCATTTAAATATTTCTTCCCGCCACTGGGTCAATAGACAACTTTCTGCCTTGTACTTTCCTTGGGTTAATCTGAGTGGAATTTGGACTGACGGAACACTACCACATTATGAAAATTCAGAAAAGAAAATCCCGCATACTTAAAGACCATTCTTTTTATTCAGTTAAAAGATAGATAGATGACCGTGGAAAAAAAAAGAACCAATCTTAACTGGTTTGTCCTTGCATAGAGGCCAAAGATATCGTTTTCTTTTTTAATCAGTTTCAAGGGCTGTTTTCATCGCATCAATTGATAGCTCTCGTGACGGCCGGTCTTCACAAAGGTGTGACAATTTACTGATTAATAAAGAAAAAAGTCAGACTGTTTATTTTTAGATCGTTTCCCTTTCAAGCATTATTCACCTTATCATCCGATTGTATTATCGCTCACTGACACGACGAAATCCTTTCTTCACAGAAGTATGCATAAATTATTCTTCACTTGAACGATGTTTTAATATATTTTCTTCGATTATGTAACCATCAGCATTTATTGATGCAGTCCAGCTGGTTCTATGATAAAAAATAACTCATATACAACCTACTTTAGAACATTAAACGAACGTGCAAATTGGAACACGCATTTTTAATCTACCATGAGCCTTATACCGGTGGATATGCCTACATATTCCTCAATTCTCGGTTTTAATTTGGTGCTATGAAAACTGTATTTGCAAGAGGTTTTCGTACCTTCAATCAAATTACCTAAAACACACGAGGAAAAAAAATGCATGCTTAAAAATTAGGTTAAAAATTGAGATTAGAAAAACAAAATATTACATAACGAAAAGAATTTTTTTTTCTGTCGGAACAAATGCGTTCATTGCATTCTAACTAAAACTTTTAAGGAATGCTCAAATTCTTTGGACGGTTTTTTTTCTAGTTCGTTCACGAGAATTTTTCTGAGATATTTCAATGGCTGTGTGCCACAAAACTTCGTCATGCTAGAGTTAAGAATTTCCCGAAATGAATGTGTTGAAAAATGAAGAAGAAAATTCGAATAAGTAAAAAGGAATGCTTTTGAGTATACAGGTTACATAAAATCCAAAACAAATCTGAGATAAATATTGCTAGTAGAGGAAACGGGGTCACACTAATTGCATACAAAAATCATCTTTCATAATATATAGTTCATGTAAACAACGCTTTCATATTTATCGTTTGAAAGAAGTTAAAATCTTCAAAATAAACCTTGAGCATATAGGTCGAAAATATGCTTCCAAATGAATTATCATATTGTAAGTTGCTCATATCCTGTTTTTTAAAAGCTAATATAAACTGAATATCCATCCTAAAATAATAAACGCGATTATTTTCTTAAGTGTAGCATACCTTTTAGAATAATACGTAAAACTATTTTGAGTTTGTCAAAAAAGACGATTCAGCAGTATCTGCCAACTTATCAGGTCGTTGGAAAAGATTTTACTAAGCGATATATAAGAATTTTCAAAAAATTCAAGCAAAATCTCGAGATCTTTCGCATCGCCGATTTCAAACCTGCAATCTGTTTCTCACGCCAACCTGCAGATCTATACAATTTAATGATTCTGTCTGAATCAAGATATATTTAAAAACACATTCGAGTGACTACTTAGTATCCCCACTTTCCTGGTACGTATGGTGTGGTAAAAAGAAGGTAATGCATTTCAGTTCATAATGCAATACGTTAACCCTTTGACGCAGAATTTTTATTAAACCTATTTTTCATACTTTTTTCAATATTTTGAATGAACAGGTGTCAAAATAAGTGAAAAATATTAGATTTCGAATTTTAATATTTTATGGTTATAAAATACATGAAACATCAGTGCCTTTTTCAGCACTAAATGTAAAATTTTTCAAACATTGCTTACTTCTAAACAATAATTTTTCAAATTTGCACTTATTAGCAGTTAGTTAGAGAAATTGATTCTTCACTGAAATTTATTTAATTTGCAAAATCAGTTAATAAATTTTTGAATATGAATTAGTGAATGAAGAAGAATGAAAAAATAAAATTCATACTACTTTTTTAGGATTTTATATTTTATTGCAAATATAATTCTGATAATCTAACAGATTTTTTTTGTAACTGTTAGATTGTTTTTTATAATTAAAAAATAACAGAATATATTTTTTGCTTGTAATTAGAGCGCCAGAAAAAAATTATACAAAAGGGACACCGGTGTCCTATCTGCGTCAAAGGATTTAAAATTTAAATTTAGATCTTTATCCAGAAGGAGTTGAGTTCACAACAAGCAGAGTTCAACAACAAGTTGAGTT